ACCTCCTTGATTTTGAAAACCCTAGAAAATTGATTTAGGGGTCTTTAATTTTGTGCATCTTGCTTGCAATTGATGCTTGTTTTGGCTTTGATTATGTTTGTATGTGATGCTAGGATGATTTGGAAGCAAATTGCAATCGATTTGGACTAGATTTGAGCATGTTTGAGTAAATAAGAGCCAAAAATTCGAAGGGGGTGGTGGCGCCAACAAGGATTAGGGGGAAAGGGAGGGTCAACCGACAATAATGGAGATAGGTCATCGGAGGTGTAGAGGTTTGGGCGGCGGGTCCAGTGGGTGAGGGGGTTGCTTCCAAGGGAGGGGGAAAGGGAGAAAGAAGGGGAATGGGTGGTTAGTTGGTGGTTTGGGTGGTGATTTATTTTTTATGTATAAATTTAATCTAATTTTTAAGTAATTGGGCGAGTTAGAGGTTAATTAGAAGAAATGGGAGAAAATTAGAGTCTAATTAAGTTAATTAAAGGATAATTAGGGAAATGGATTTCATTTCGCAAAAATAATGAACGTTGTGGTTTTTTTTTTAACCAAAAAGCTTTTAAAAGGTTTTTTTCGCAAATTGGTGATTTTAAAAGTTTTTTTTTTTTTTTGACAAATTTTCATTAAATCAAACATCTCCACTAAATACAGTTTAAGCTCCATATTATAAATCTATGAGCCCCTTTGGTCATCACTCTCCAAATTAATGTAAACTATGAGTTCAAACTGTTATCCCAAACAACCTTGAAACGAAAGGAATATATACGTAAACAATAATGGTAAAAGTGAACTAATTAGTATTAAAAGTCAACATGACCTAACTAAGGGCGTGTTTACGTTTACTGAACTCAACTGAACTGAGCTAAATTGAATATTTTATGAGAGAAGGAAATTAGAAGCTGAACTAGACTGAATTGAACTGAATTGAATAGAGTCGAACTGAACTGAACTGAAATTAAGGTGAAGTGAACAGACCCTTAAAATTAGAGAAAAAAAGTAATAATTAGTAAATACTAAAATATGCATAACCTTTTATTAAAAGAAATTGACCTGTGTATTTCACAAAAGTGAGAGTTATTGAAATTGGAACCGGTAAGGGTCTGGAATCGAAATTGATTGGACCCGGTAGTTCCAATTCCGGGTAATAAATTAAGGAACCGGTTACAACTGGTTCCAATTCCAATTCTCAATATTTTGGACCTGGAACCGGTTGGGTACCCGGTTACCCAATAATTATTAAACTAAACGTATTTAAAGAACAAACTTATGTTAGAATGTATTTAGTTATTAACATTAAAAAATATTATAATAATACTAAACATAGATAAAATAGCTTTATGTATATGTAAATATAATTATTAAACGTTAAAAATGAAAATGGATCAAAATATTGTATTAAAATTTAACAATTGTGTATATTAGTGGGTATCCAGAACCGGAAACAGTACTGGTACCCGGTGGTTCCAATACCAATTCCTAAATTTTAGGACCCGCTTAAAGTGATTCCAATTCCAATTCTAGATTTTAGTACCCGGTGTCAACCAGTTTTAAGTCCGGCTCCTAAAATTTTAACCGGGTACCCGGTTTGCTCACCCCTACGGAGAATAGTAAGTAATCATTTTGTTAGGCATCTATCGGATACCTAACATATATACGCATCCACATGAGTACATGACTACATGTATGCCTTGTATGGGGTGCTATTTCAATCGGAAATCAATACGTAGTAGAATGATTTATTAAATGTTAGGCAACTATCGTTTCATTGTTGGCTTGTTGCTAGTATCATCTCTTCATCTGTACGTTAAAATTCAATTGAGAGCAACACTATTGTCCATACATTCATAACAATTCTTTTTCAAATTTACACCTTATTATTAAGTCGCATAAACATAATAGAGGGTGAATTCGAAATTAACTAAAAGCCGCAAAATCGATCTTCTGGATCAAATCCTACCTCCAATTCATTGTCTTAATATTTTCTAGTACAAATATTAAAATAGGTGATGAGTGTGGACATCTACTTTTGGTTTCTTGTCCCAACCAATTTTTGGTCCTCTGTCCCGACCAAAAGTATTATGACGATAAATAAAACCATCATTGTGTTGGATCAACGTGAAGAATACTTATATATTGCTAATTAAGGCAAACACATAAAACCACTAGCTTGACCCAATACGAAATGGACCAAAGCTAACTAAAACTAAGCCCGATCAATAAATAGGCCTAATCACGAGATTAAACCTAATTTTGATAGATTTAAAGGTGCCTAGGTTAAAATCAAGGCTGCCACAGAAAAAAAACGGGCACAACTAAAGGAGTTGCGCTGCCTCGCACGTGCAACCAACAAGGTTGCGTGTGACGCCCATCGCAACCTCAAGTGATGCGTTTGAGGTTGCGCTAGCGGAAGATTTAGAATTTCATAAAAATACTAAATTGAATCTTACCATAAAGCCACTGCACGCGCAAAACAATTGATTGTGTTGCCATCAACAGCGCAACTAAATCACTTGCGCGCGGCCTTTCAAGATGCGTGCGCCGAGATGTGCGCGCCACCTGCTGCAGTAAAATGTTCAAAACCCTAAATTCACCCATTCCCTATATATAGAGGTTCAATATGAAGCTTTGGGGACAAAAATTAACCCGAAAGTTAGCAGAAACTTTGTGAACTTATGCATTAATCATTCCCCTTGTCCTAAACACTCACCCTTTTAATTGTTTGTTCTTACGGTGGAGGAACCCGAACAACAAGGAGTCCATAAGAGTTCTAAATGAAGATCTAGCAAGGAAAAATGGTAAATTCTCAATCACTTAGATAAATCACCTTTTCTTTTCTTGTTTAAACAACTAATCCGTGTTGCTTGATCACCCTAAACAAACTCTAATTAATTAATTCACATAGTATTCTCTCATTAATCAAGACTAGAAATTGAATAATTAATTGATTGTTTTATCACTTAAGCCAAGGCGAATCTTGTTTGTTTTTGTTCTTTCACGAATTTGAATAAGTAAGAATAATGACATTTATGTGATTCCTACATTATTAATGCGTGTAAATAAAATCAACTAACTTAATTTTAGGTATCACGTTACATATATTGTTTGGTAATAAAATTGTGATAAAGGAAGATCTAGTAGAGTCCGCATTTGGGCTAGAATAGGGATTCCTCCCTACAAGAATGTTATTTTAGTACCTCGCTCCCGAACTCATTTTTGGTACACATAGACCAATTTGGATAAGGGTAATAAACTTATGATTAATGCTAAATATTTTCTGAACTCTACTTGAGATAAAAGCATAAACGAGGTTTATGAGTTTTCTTGAAAGTCATTAGCGACTCCTTATTAGCTTCTTACAAAAAAGCGTAATGATAAAATCAATTCTAATTCAATGGTAAAGTCCTAGACTTTTAAAGGTTATGGGCATAGAGGAGAAGGATCCTCTACGATGGGCATACCCTCCACACAATGAGTAAGTGTAAATTAATGAAGATATTACCTCCGATTTTTTTTAGTTGTAACTTTGAAATATTTTATATCTCACAAATAATACCCTAAAGTTGCAAGTAATAAAAGTCGGAGGTAGTAGTTATAGTGAAATAGAGTATAAAAAATAGTGAGTGTAACAAAACGTGGATAATGTAAGAGAGACTGAATACAAATATGTAGGAAAATTGGCTTGTCTTAAAGGTATTTAATTATTTATATGCTCATTATTATTTTATTTTTGAAGAAGACCTTATACATTCAAAGTGGTAAAAAAAAGGGGGTCTTTATAAATCACTTTTGTTGTGAGGAGGGAACTTGACGTCGGCGGGGCGGAACTATGTTGGTGCATGGTGAGTCACGTGACTCACCAGCAAAAAAAATGATTTTTTTTTGAAAAAAAAAAATACCAAAGAGACCTCCTATTATAGATAGGCGGTCTCTTTGCTGCTATTGCTTCCTAACACTGTCAGGGCTTTTTTTTTCATTAAAGAGACCTGTTATATTTAATAACAGGTCTCTTAAGTTATCTCACTATTTTATTTTTTTTATTTTATTTTTTGTGTACTCCGTATAATTTGTTAATAATTCTTGTACAATAAAGTTAATTTAATGTAATAATTTTATAGTACTATTTGTTTGTAACATGTTATTTATTTGGAGTACGTAATTTCGACTTGTAAGCTTGAATTTTTAAGTACTATTGTAGTATGGATTTTATGTCCTATTTTTGGATTGAAAACATTTTGGTGAAATATATTTTTTATATATACATATATATATAATTTTTGGATTGAAACAAGTGATCAGTTATTGGTGACTCACCAATTCGAAAATCCTGGATCCGCCACTGGACGTCGGAATACGGCTATTGACTTCACTTTTTTAGCGTTGATCATCACGTGTGTGGCACATGAGAAGGAAATTTATTGATAAGTTTAAGTTGACATCAATGATGTCGAGGAAGGAGGAGGTAAAAAGTTAATGAAAAAAAAAGTTACTTGAAATTCAGGTGATATAGTCAAATAGGCTTATTATGAGAAAATAAGTAGTAAGTTAATATTATTCAGGGTTCATTATTAAAAATGTTGTATTATTTTGGGAGAATGAGACATATATTTGATAAATTCTATTAAATTTTAATTACTTGATAGAATTTATAATATTAATTAGTTAATGATTTTCAACTAATCGTGATTCATAATAACTAAATTAATATTTAGTTCCACTTTAAAATCGACCATGACTTATCCTACTACGATACATAGTTATGAAAATTAATTATATTATTTTGACACGCCTATTATAACACATTCCACGCCATGGCCACTTCTAATCTTAACACGTAGAAGAGTGTCATAAGCAAATATATAGAATTAATAAGAATAAAAAAAAAAGTATTTCCTACATTACTTTGCAAGTTCAAAACCTTGTGTCCTAAGTTAAAAATTGTATCGTCATTTGCACCTTATAAAGCACATATAAAAATAATGTTATGACACAAAATACTAGTGTAAATTTATTTTTTCCATGCAAAATCTTGCTTACCTCCAAACTCCTAAAAACGCTAAGTCCAAAAACCCTCCCAAAATTATTGAACTCGGTGAATGCTAATGAAATGAAAAATGGACCCCCCCCCCTCCCCCTTTTTTGTATATTGCTCGATCCAAAACGCCAAGTACATACACATACCCCATACACTCTTTCTCTTTCTCTCTTTCTCTCCTCTTTTTTTTCCTTCTTTTTAGAGAGAGAAACAAAAATAATAATTCACACCATAAAATTCATCCAAAGTTATAAGAACAAGAAGAAGAATTAAAAGTTGTACAATTTTTGTACCCTTTTTTTAAAAAAGCTATTAATACACAACAATTTCATTTACTCTTTTTATTACACACTTCCTTTTGTGTTATTAGTTTTTCATTGTCATTATGATGAGGTGACAACAAAAAAAAAATTTACAATAATTTTGTAGAAAGATTATAATGAAGAACACCATAAGGTGTTGCATATCTTGCATCCTCCCGTGCGGAGCACTAGACGTGATCCGCATCGTACACTCGAACGGCCGTGTCGAGGAGATCTCCGGCACAATACGTGCCGAAGACATAATGAAGGCTCACCCTAAACACATCCTTAAGAAACCAACTTCTCGTTCGACATCCGACGTCGAGTCGATCGACTCGCACCACCGTGGGCCCACCATTGTGGTGGTCCCACCCGACGCGCAACTCCAACGTGGGAAGATCTATTTTCTCATACCAATCATCGATCATAATAACAATAAGAAAAAGACAAACTCATCATCAAAGAAGTCCACATCATCGCCGACCTCACCGTCGGTTGTTGCTGCCCCCGTGGGATCGGGGGCAGCTTCATCGACGGTGAGACGGAAAAGAAAGGAGCATAAAAGTCGGAGTAATTCGATATCATTAGCAGCTGCTAATATTGTATTATCGTCTACAACAGAAGAAGATGATAAGTATTTGAGTGATATATTAAGTGAGAAAGTAATATCAAGTCATAGAGAAAAAAGAAGAGGAAGAGTTGCAGTTTGGAGGCCACATTTAGAGAGTATTACTGAAACTCTTAGTGAAGCTGCTTCAAGTGATCATTAATTTAAATCAATCATATCATTTGGTGTGTTTTTTTGTGTTAATTTTTTTTTTTTTTTTTTTTTTTTTTTTTACTTTTTCTTTTGTTTTTCTATTGGTTATTTGATAAGTTTTTGATTAATAATTATCCAATAGGGGGTCAAAGAAAAAGGAAAAAAAAAAAGGAAGAAGAAGAAGGTATGTTATAAGATGATGATGAACATTTTTGTGTAAAAATGGTAAAAGTGAAATTAAATATGCTTACATGTTAATTATATACTTTAAAGTTTAGTTTGATAAATTAAATGGGAAATGTTAATTAAGTTGAAGTGAAAGCAATTGTATGAATATTGAACTTTTTTTTGTTAGTTATACTTTTTCTTTATGCCTCAATTTGATTTCTTCTTTTTATTTGATTTGAACAAGTTTTGATCATGAAAGTTATTGCAAGGATGTAGTTAAAAATCATTATTTATCCGCTATTCAGAACCTCTCATTTTTAACCATTTATATGATTACATGTGATAGTAATTACACGAAAGTAAAAAATGTGTCAATAGGTGATTTCATTCGCAATATATCTTGTTTTATGAAGTACTTCACATATACTTCTACTTCGACTTCAACTAATATCTCTTAATCACATTCATTCTATAAGCAATGAAAGTATGAAACCAAAGTAAACTGTTTTTGACGGTACAATAAATGGAAAATGGATTAAGTGGTACCATATATTTAAATTAATTAAGGTTTGCTTTCACAAACTAGTTGTGTGGAATTGCTCTCGCAAGGACCATTATTATAAAAAAAAAAAAATTATATATATATATATATAAGACTTACTTTTTTTTAATATCTAACATATTTTAAGATGTTTTAATCACCAGATACTTTGAACGAACTCAATCCATATGCGAAATTGGCCTTTGTGCTTCTTTACTATTGGTTAAAAAAAACGCACTCAATCAAAAATATGCAATCTTGTTAAAGTGAATATATTTGGAATCCAGTGAGCTTTTAACCCAACTTGTTAAAAATTTCTGTTTAGAAAGGACATGTTTTTTTTAACAAAAAACTACCAACTTTTTTTTAAAAGATTAAATTTTTTTTAATATTATACTTTCGAGATTTTCGACCCCATCCGTAGAATTAAGGCTTTGATTTAATGGTTATACTTTCAAGATTTTAGAAAAAAAATTGCAGTGTTTGAATTTTTTTTTTTTTTACTATTCACAATTCACATCCTCACTCTCATGACCATAATAAGAAAGATTATATTCACGTGAAGATTATTAAATTTGTTTTGATAAATATTACAGTACAAAGTAACTTTTAACATATTAAACTTTTATAATTTTTGTTATAAATATAATTAAATATAATTATGATTTAAGTTGTGTATTAACAAGTGTAAAGCTTTAAATAATGCAGTTTAATTTATAAGAGCTAGTGAGCTACTCCTCCGTGTTCCTATATCGTCACGGTTTGTATTTCACCACGGGTAAAGGGGTTGGATAGATGATGTTATTGGGCCCTAAAAGATGGTAGTCTAAAAGAGTATGTGTACCTTATTATGAATAAATAAAAACTAAAGTTATGCATTCGAATTGCCACAATCACCTCTTTGTTCAAAGACATTTGATTGTTGATTACAAATCAAATTTAAAGATGCTTTTATAAATAATTTGTACTTAATCAATATAAGTAAATACTTCGTGGGTATGTATAAAGATGGATTATCAAAAAGTATCCTTATTTTATGAGATAGTCTTTAAAATTAAGATACAAATAATCCCTTTTTGCATAATTTAATCAAATACTAGTACTCCTTAAATCATTTTTATATAAATTATTACATGCTTTAACGCACATTAGATTTTTTTTTCTTTTCACAATGCTATGGCTCCAATTAAACTATTTCCAAAAACAAAAGTTCCTCAAAAAATAAATTAATTAAAATTATATTAATACAAAAGGAAAAAAAAAGTCTAAGTTAATTATAATTTTCTCATGTAGTGATTTGTAAAAGGCGCCGCGAAGAATAAAGTGAAACAAGTGTCATCATTAAAGCAAATAGGTAAACAGAATAATTAAGATGATTAATTAATTGATTAAAGAATAAATATAAAAACATTAAGGAAGTTTAAAAATTAAAGGGGACATAAAAATGTGAAATAAGGGAGTGTATGCATATGTTCCCCTGGAACTGGAGATGGGCCTCCCATTTGAGCCACAATGATGTTGTGCTTACTTCATTGTCCACGTGATTTACTTGCTTGTTTACTGCCTGTGAAACACATTAAATCATTTTGTAATTTTTAAGATGTTGAATAAATTGGAACATTTTTGCACAACAAATTGTTATTATTGTTGTTCTTTTTGGTGATTTACTTGGTGGTGATAATCGTAATGTTCATGTTTAGGAGGGGAAGAAATGTTGCTTTTCTTTTTTAAAAAAAAATCATAATCCCGGAAAAATTTGATAACTTTTTTTAATTTGTAGTGTAGGACGAAAGAGAGTCTAATCACATACATATCTAGCATAATTCTATTGTTTCTGGAAAGGGACAACGTTTTCTTTGGACCTCTTGGAGAATTGTAAGAACTTCAAATCCTTTAATTTCCATCTTAGAATTTATTTTTATTTTTTTTCAAATGAATTGGCCCACCTTTGGCCTAGGATCACTAAAGAATCTTGATAGCATGTTAAGTTTTCAATATGCTACACGTCTACACCAAACCTATATCGAAAGAGAATTTAACTACATATAATTAAGCGCGAATTTCATTCTAAAATGAAATGTTAATCGGTGGAGTAACCCACAAATTATTTGTTATCTTGATCATCGTTCACATGTGACATCCAAGCCGATTTGGCATTACCACACTAAATGCATTTAATACATATTTTTCGTTTAAAACTTGTTGCTCATTGTGCATTTATTTCTCAATATGTTCCTAGCTACATGATCCAATATGCACATAGTTCCCTAACATATTCTAATGATGTTTTATACGCTAAAATAAGTACGTTACGTACAGTATGCAATCCTAGTTTTTACTATCAATTCCAATATCATGTCATAGCAAATTAAATTAGCTTCCCCTCATAGTATTATCCACATTTAGTCTTTCTCAAATAATTTTCTTACGAGTAAATTTGATTAAGGAAACTAATCGAAGAGATGTTTTACCAACCAATTCGATAATCTGCCATATAACAAATGGCTAAACATGCCTAAACAATCTACCTTTCTTTTGGTATTACACGTAGCCTCCAAAAAGTCAATCATCACATGTTCTTCTACTACACGACAAATCTAGAACTATTACATATATAATACTCTTAATTGTTCATTGCCAAAATTATTTATGGCTCGGAGTATAAGATTGTTCGATGTTAGATTTGGAAATCAGCATCAAAACCAAACCAAACCAAACTACACCACAAAATATAAGCACATCATAGAATATTGTTTGGTATTGTTATAATATAAAAAACTAAAAAAGTTATAGTTGTGTGATGTTTGCCTGTTTGGTAAGTTTGTTCGGTATGTATAGTGTTATATGTGTCCTTTAAATCATGTTATAAAAAATTTATAGAAACATATTTTTTTACTTCTTCATTTACTTGTTTTTTTTTTTTATTAGGGGAACTTCTTCATTTACTTGGTATCATAAATAAACTAGTGTTTAGCCCGGGTAATTTTCCGGGTCTATATGTTAAATATTCTTCACTTCGTATAATAGTTTTCATGTACTATATAATAATCTTATTAAATACTTTTATTATAGATTTAGTTAAAGAAAATAATTTGTCTAAAAAAAAAAAAAACTCGTGTCATTCATTAACTATATTTAAGAAGAAAAATTAAACAAATGTAATAATAAATATATAGCAAAGATGGTATAACTTCTTACTCCCTCCGTATTTTTTTAAGTGTTACAGCTTGACCGGCACATAGTTTTAAGCAATTTAATTGACTTAAATAATATAAGATGTAAAGTTAGAGTATTAAAAATTTGTAAAAGAAAGATACTGGGATTAATAATTTATTGAAAAGTAATGAATGTGAGAGAGACATACGGAGTAATATTTTAATGTAACTTTTTGCCAAAAAAGGAAGTGTAATACTTAAAAAAACGCGGAGGGAGTATCTATTTTTTTAATGGACCTGAGTTCAATTTTTAATGTGTATCCTTGATATATTTATATATAGTATAGATTTTAATGTATTTCTTTAAACCTTATAAAAGTTTATAATGAAACCAAATATTAAAAAGATTTATGCTCTAGTGTGATTAGTGGTGTAAACCATAAACTACAATTTATTTTAGGATTTTTTGTAAATTACCACCCCAAAATGTACCATGTATGTAATTTGCTATTGTCAAAAAAAAAAAAAAAAAAAAAAAAAAAAAAAAAAAAAAAAGGTACCATGTATTGAAATAACCACCCATTTTTTTTGAAATTAAAAATAACAACCCATATTTTACAAAAAAATGTAGGTTTTACCACCCGAGCTATACTCTGACCAGTTTTTCGAGCATGGGCCCCACATAATGGCTGTATATTATTTTTATAAAAGTTGTTTCTCGATTTATTTCCTCCCTTGTTTCACAAACTACTCCCAAACTTAAAATTCTTCATTTTTCCCACAAATTCTACCAATTTTTACTCCAAGTTTTGCAAATTGACAAGCGAATCCTTTGAAGAACGCACTTAAATTTTTATACACCAATTTATACATCAAGGTAATTGAAGATCGCACTTTATTTTTTTATTTTTAGTTATTTTGCAATGTTTAATAAAGTAGAATTCAAGTTATACGATATTTTTTAATTTGTTTGGAATGTGTTTTATTAGGAATTTAATGATGTAATCGTTGTTTGATTCATTCAATTTAACTTGAATTGAAAATTAGGGTTCTTCATAATGAAATTGAATGGCACATGATCGGAAAAATGGCCGGAGTATAGGTAGGGCTGTAGGGGTGGTAAAATCTACAGTTTTGTAAAATATGGGTGGTTATTTTTAATTTCAACAAAAATGGGTGGTTATTTCAACACATGTTAAATTTTAGGGTGGTAATTTACAAAAAATCCTTTATTTTATGGTTATTGTAAAATACTTTTAATTATATTCGATTTATATACTTGATGTGCACTTATTTGATTTTTATTGAATGAATTAGAACTTGATTGTATGTGTATCATTTAAGTTTGTTAGAGCTTATATGAACTTTTTAGACCACATTTTGGTTGTGAAGAAACTTGAGTATCTCTTACCATGGAATAACAATCATTTGAACTTGTAAGAAGTTCTAATTTAAGTACCTTAGATTGTTGATGTTAGATCCTTGACACTCGTATAAATATTTTGTTCCTTACAACTAATAGCATGTGTACGTTGATGAGTATGAGCACTTCACTTTTGATATAATACATATACTTCGCACCAAACCAATTTAAGTACTTGATTCCAAGTAACATAGACATCATTATCGGCCACCACGTACAATCACCTGATGAAAAAGCAAGTTCATGCATTGTATACTCCATCCATAATTATCAACAACATTTATGAGACCTTTTTGACCATGGCCTCTTTGCTTTTCTTTTCCATTTGTATAAGGTTTATCTTTTGAGGTTCATCTTCGACAATAATTGTGATGAGCTTTTAGTAACAAAATTGATGGCCTATTACGTGCGTCCCCACGCTTGCTTTACTTTGTGCACATAGGATATACTAGTGATATGCCATTTGGTATCATATAAACCCTAATTATTACAAATTTAATAATAATAATAATAATAATAATAATAATAATAATAATAAATACTTTTTTAAAAAATCTGTTTTTTTTTTTTCCTTTTTTATATGTTTTCCTTTCTCCAAACATATTTAATTGGCTAACCTCTGTATATGATCATATATTATCCAGCTATGCAAGCTGTCTATATATGCTAGTTAATTAAGTCCCACCATATTTGGAGGCCAACTATAAAGAGAAAGCAACATATAAAATAATATAATTGCCATATATATAGTTATTATATATATTAACTATGCTTTGTATTATATGAAATATAAGTTAATTATATGGCCTATAAAGAGGCAAATAGCTAGTTGAGATTTCGCTGTTATATTTATTGATTGAATGGCTCACCATGCATTTTTATTCTTTTCCTTTATTTTCTTTTAGCATGACCATATTTACATGTTGAAATTGATTGAAAGACAAATAAGATAACATTTATAATCATAATGACTATAGTTTGTTGAAAGGACTTTAATTTGTTGATGTTAATTTCCTCTTTGTTTAAGCAATGTCACATTTTTTAATAGAATTATGGGTACAAGTATGGGTCTAATAAGGTCGTCTTGGACTCTTGGAAGGATTGTCGATCAAGTGGTGTTTTTAGTCTCTCCAAAGGCTACATGATTTATTGGATTTGGACAATGTTTTGTCGAGCACATAGTTCTCAATTTAATTCTATAGTTTTGTCGAGCACCTTAGAGATTGGTATGGTATCATTTAGTATTGAGTAAGTTTGGGAAAATCATATTCATTTTAAGATTACCCCGTATTTTCCTTTGAATAACTTGTCCGTTATTAGTTAGTTAATATTGTATGAAAATAGATAATCTTTTACCTCTCAAAATAACAAATAATTTTATAACTTAATGATAATGTATAAAGGAAAGAAGTTCAAGTTTAATAACATAGTTGCTTCGTTTTATTTTAATTGCAAGATAGCTTCTAGACACACATTTTTAAGAATTATTAGAGAACGTGAACAAACGACTATATCAAGCTTTGTTTAGAACAAAATGGTTCACGATTCCTCACGAAGTTAAAACACCATCAAAATTGAATTGTAAGAAAATGGATTCAAGCTCAGGTGGCTATAAAGGACGGCTTGTTCGCCGTTTATAATGGATATATGGTGAATAGTGTGTAGTAATCAGTAGAGGTGTCAATTCGGATGATCGAATCGGGTCTGATGATGTTGAATCAGAACGGGTTAATTTTTAAAGTTGAGTCATATTAAGTTATTGTGTCCACACGAGTTGAAATCTGAATCACGAGTTAATAATACTCCCTCTTTTTTTTTTTTTTTTTTTTTTTTTTTGCTCTCATTGGGAGTTATGACGCTATTCATTAAACCTACTTTACCCTAAATTTGTGAATTATACGTATGAAAAAATATACTTTAATTAGTACTTGTTAGAATCGTCTCAATGAGTAGATTATTGCTATAATTTTTTACTTCCTTCGTTTCTTTTTAGTTGACACGTTTCTTTAGTTACGTTTGTCAATACACAAATTCAATCATTAACATCTTTAATTATCGATAAGCAAAAATTATAAAAGGTTGATGTTTTGAAAATATACATTGTGACGAATCTAACAATATCTCACTTGACCATATTTTTCTTTACATATAAATAACAAAACATGGGCAAAGAGAGGTGTGAATAGTGCTAAAGTCAAAACGTGTCAATCAATAAAAAAAACGGAGGTAGTATTTATTAATATTACGTAATTAAAGATATTTTTGGTCAAAGTTTTCCATTGGGTTATGTCACTATAAAACACTTTTAAAAAAAGGAAAAATTGATTAAAAAAAAAAAAAAATCTCAACTTTCATCGATTCATTAATTCATTATTTTTAAATAATCCAAACTTTAGGGGTTATTCGCTCAAAATGGTCTGAAGTGACCAGTAACCTGTTAAAGAGGTTTTGTGTGTGTGTGTGTGTGTTTAAGTGAAATGTGTCACTACATGAATGGTTGAAAATAATTAAAAAAAAAAACACCTAGCCCCAACCCATGATAACCCCACCACCACCTACCTTTGGCACACCGGTGTCCCTCCTCCCACCGGCCGAGATCCCCTCCCCTACCGCCGACACTCCTGCGTCCCTCCTCCCATCGGCCCAGACTCCCTCCTCTATAGTCGGCATCTCGACGCCCTTTCCCCCATAATTCCCCACCGTGAAACCACCTAGACTAAACTCGAAACCCATAAAAAAAATGCACAAACCACCCAAATCAACGCTAGGGTTCCGAGGGTGGGGGAGCAGCAATTTGTGGGGTTTGCATGGTGGTTTGGGTGTTTTTAGGGTTTCGGTGGAAGTTAGGTGATTTAGGGGAAGAAGGAGAGAAGTGTCGGCGCCGGCGTGAGGAAGGGACGGTCTAGGTGCTAACGCTGGCGTGAGGTGCAGCAGTTGTTGGGGGCTCCGAAGGTGCGATAGGCTGGCGAAAGAGTGGTGGTAAGGTGGTCGGCGGCTGAGTTGATTTTGAATTTTATTTTTTGAATTTTATCTTTTTTGTAAATTTTTATTTTTCAAGTAATCATGAAAAATATAACAGGTTGGTGATCGTTTGGAATTATTTTGAGTGATAAACCCCCAAAGTTCAGATTTTTTAAAAATAAGTTAAAATTGGGATTATTTTGAACGTACCGGCGAAAGTTATGATTATTTTTATCAATTTTTCCTTAAAAAAACCAAAAGGAATGTTAATTAGACTGCAATTTTAATTTTAAAAGATTGGCAAATTTTCAAAATAAAATCTACTTGTTGACAATCAACTAGAATTATGACTGAAGTTATACATTAGCAAGCATAAGGACTAAAGTCTAAATATAGAAGTGTTGCAAGTTGCAACTTGCAAGTAGTCCGTCTTCATAATAGACAATCATTTAGTATATGCAGACTGCAGTACCACTACTAAACCCTACACAAAATATATGCAGACTGCAGTACCACTAATAAACCCTACACGAAACACGCTACTAAATTACAAATGGATATTGCAAGGATGCAGGCCTACAATACAACCTTTAAAAGGCAAACCTTTGCACAATGCACATCTAATCTCCGATAATAATATCATATATATAAACCATTTCACGTTTTGTTCAAGTCTCTGTTGTAAGATACCCCTTAATCGCCTTCACCGTCCTGTAACTCCCATCATACATCCAATGTTTCTCATCGATCCCTGGACAAAAAGAAGACGACGAGTAAAACACTGTAACTTGTGAGGGATTTATTATACCAGGAAGCCTTTACAACTGGAGATTATGTAAATGATTGAATTAAAGTTCAATAAAACCTCAATAATACATGCATTTATGCAAATGATAAATGTATTACTGATGAAACCATCACAAACACATGATGAAACCCAGCAAAGGGGAACAAAACTGAACTGTCTAGCCCACCCCTGCTGTAATATAAGAATTGATTTACAAAAAGCTCAAATGCAAAATGACAAACAAAATACGATGAAAGAAATATGAGCTGTTCACAATTATCATAAAAACACACACTGGATTGTTCCAATTATGCATCAAATTTCCAATATTGCACCAAAATTCAAGTTAAGATGTTTATGTAATCAATCAAGGATAAAACAAGGGATAAAGACAGAGAACTAGATTTTTCGGAATCTTGTTAAAAAATGATGAAGAAAACATTAATAAATGGTTAACAGAAATAGTCACAGCTAAGAAAATCTAAGTTAAAAGATCAGATTCTACAACAGCAGAGCTAAACTAAGACTACAACAGGGATTCTTTGGTTCTTTTTCATATAAACTGAGCATCAAAACAAAGAATATAATTATCTAATTTTATTTAGGTTCTGCATTGCATTGCTTATTAATAAATATGGTATTTCAAGTGATCACTGATAAAATGATAAGTCAAGAATGAATGCTTATTGTCAAATTATAATGAAGAATAAATTTTTTTTTTACGCTGTAATTAACCAAAAAAAAAAAAGTTTTCTTCATCATTTATTAATGTTTTCTTCATCACTCTTCAACCAAACTATAATCATGTTGGATCGCACAAATATTGCAGCAATAGCAGCAGGCTACTGCAGATTAAAAGATAAATAACCAGGCTTCAGCTGATTGCTCAGATAGACAGAAAGATATTTTCCGAGGAAGGAACTTCATCAACAAGATCAAGACTCACAATGACATTCAGGAGGCAACTAGCTTGGAGTTCATTTAGCCACAACAATAGTCAGCTCGATGCAAGAAAAGTTTTAGCAATTGTAATTAACAAGACAAACAAAAACATTAAATCTTTTTATTCTAGGGTACCTTGAGAGTTCAGCATCCAAGTACCATGAAACCAACACTAATATACATGACAAATAAACATCAAGCCCTTAATAGAGCTAAGTATGATAATTTAAGAGTGATAAGTAAGCTTGAATTTGTGACGGTCATTAGATATTGAATTGTGTCAAGTGGTAGGGGGGCTAAGAATGTAGATTGGGAAACTTCTCTGAATTCCTCGGCTAACCCTTGAATTCTATACAGACTGGTTTCTAATGCTTGGCCAGTAAATGGACAAACAAAGAGAGTATTGGCGACCAAAGGCAGCAAATTATGCTAATTAGTAAGGCTTGTACGATAGATGAGACTTTCAAGGTTCCTGAAACTTTCAATTTTTAGAAAATTTCAGAAAGTATGAAATCGAGACAAAAAGCCTCACCAATTTCGTAAACATGTAAACCTATACAGTTTAGTTGTTCGAAACATCCTAACCAGTAATTGAGGCAACAGTTCAAATCAAGAGTGGTATAGGTATTCAGGCAACATCCAACCCGGAAAATCTCCAAATGAAAAGGTAATAAATAATACCAAATGGGCAAAGCCCCTAAGTTAACTTATTATGATGAATTGAGCCACCCTCTTGAGATCAAGACTTCTCACTATTCACCTCTTCCACTATCTCTCTTCATCAGTTGCCACTTATAGCAGAATATCTTCAGTTCTCTGTAGTTTACTGATCATAGCCAGCAGAGCAAGTTCTTACCTGTACTCTATAAACAGAAACTTTCTTTAGCTCAATGGTTGCTTTTCTTCTTGCAATTATCAGTCTGCTTAATTTTCCTCAAAACCCCTACTTCTATCTCTTGTTTTATTTTTATTTTTTTACTACGTAATTGAATTGTCTTGCCCAATTTTAATTTATATTTGTATTCATATCTGGTATATAGCAGTGGCAATAATGTTTATGGATCATATTTTCTCTCAATTTAATTGATCAGCTCAAAACATGACGGGTTTTTTTCAAACAACCAGTGACAGATCTTTTATTAAGCAACATTTCTAAATCTTGCTGAATGCTTGGGGCTAGTCGGGTCCTTCCTAGAAAGTTCCTTCTTCTTAATTCATTCCATATTCTGTGCCATCTAAGGTAATGCAAAAGGACCAGAAGCATGGTCGTTAACGTAATGGCATGTTGCAATTAGAAAAAAAAAAAAAAAAAAAAAAAAAAAAAAAAAAAAAAAAAAATGAAAATGGCGGAGGAAGAAGAAAACAGATGTTTAAAATGGTGATAAATCAGCTGACGAGGAACTAGAAAATGGAGGTCCACATTTATAGCTGTCACTCTTGTGAGTTTTGACCTTCTAAGGCTCATCCTGAAATATTTAGCATGCTACTCCCTCCATTCGTATTATTTGCACGCTTAACAGTTATCATTCCATATAACTGAATTATCCACCTAGGAGAAGATAGTGAGATAGAATCAAGTCTAATGGTTTAGAAGGAATCAACCAAAATTATACACATAGTCATCACACTACCAGGCCGGATTAGCATCCTTTGGTTGTGTATCCACCGTATCTTTGTTTCTTTCAAAGGCACAAACCTATCTCTTAAACAAACTAGATGTTGAAGATGTGTCCTAGCATGTTTAAGCTCATGTCCTTTACTGTATAGTCCAATGTCTTCAATTTCATCTGAAAATTTCTATATCTTTCAAAATGAGATTTATATTCCCCAACAAAATACCTCTCATTTGTGGGCAAACACACTCAAAACTTGGAACACAGAAGTTTAGAAGTCAGTACGGCCATTTGATCTTAAACTGTGTTTTGCTCAAATTGTCATTCATGTTGGACTTCCAGATTCTTTGGCTCTTAAGAGAAATGTTATCCTTAATAAACCCTCCCTAAAGACAAGTCACACAAATCAAACACCCTTTATAGAATTGATAGAAAAAGAAATTGCAAAAAAGGATGCATATGAAGGTTCAGATTCTTGCTTTAATGGAAAAGATAAAGTTAAGAGCAAATGAAAGCTCCTAGAACTTAAATAACAATAAATTAAGCAAGGAAAGAGGCTATAAGAGTTGTTCACAAATCAAACACCCGACTTTATAGAATTGATAGAAAAAGAAATTGCAAAAAAGGAGGCATATGATGGTTCAGGTTCTTGCTTTAATGGAAAAGTTAAAGATAAGAGCAAATGAAAGCACCTAGAACTTAAACAACAGCAAATTAAGCAAGGACAGAGGCTATAAGACTCGTTCACAACACATATTATCCTGATTCAGAGCCTCAACAAATAATATTTGCAGAGAAGAGATTTGAGATTAAAGCAAGATCATCAATTAGAGAGTTGGCGCCTAGCTCTAAAAACAACTCAAGAGGAAAATATATCTTTTCAGTAACATTTGACATTAAAATTCAAGCAGAAGTAATAGAATCCATCTACATAGATTATAGAAGGAAGGAAGGTTAATATATGGCATAAAATCTTTCATCATTGAAATATCAAATCTGAGCTTTATAATTTAAAGCAAAAAGAAAGAAGAATAGAAGATCACAATAGTAGAAAAGGTCCAAACCAACTGAAACCAATTCATAAAAATACATTAACTAAACTTTTGTGCTTTGCAAATTTTAGAGTTTAAAAAAGAAACAGAAACTTTTTGAGTTTTGGGTATATGGCATATAGATGGCATATCCATTGATTTATTTCAATTCCCTCTCGTTGACATATGAATTATTGAACATGTGGTTAGACTCAAGCCATCCATTTTTCTTTAGATACTTTAAAATAGACCCACTATACAAGAAAATTCCCAAGATATTAAGTCAGGTTGCTCTTTTGAAATTTTTGAATTTTAGGTTGTTGTTTGTCAAGACTTGATCAAGATTCAAATTTCCCAACAACAATCCAAGTAGGCTCCCTGATACCAAACATATCATGTCCAATTTGGCTAGCTCTATTAGAACTCTACTGAACCGGTGACCCCTAGGCTTTGAACTCTACTGACCCGATGACCCCTAGGCTTTGAACTCTACTGACCCGATGACCCCTAGGATATTAAAAAATCAGAGCTGAAACCACTACAATCAAGCTATTTAAAGCTTAGAAAGGTTTCAGGGTCAGCCATTTCATCCAAGCAACCCATGATAGCAGAAGCAGGTCTACAACAACAACCAAAGCAGGCTTAGACGGATAAGATCCTGTTAGAAGATGCCACAGGAAACTGCAACAAACTTAACCTTCTAAACACCTAAGTAACGACAATCTATAACATTGAAACACTGCTAGAAATACTTATAAGAAAAGGTACTTCTAGAACAGCATATAAACTTCAGATAGGTCACCAACAGAACAGATCTTAAGGTTTGCAAATTGCAATAGAGCAACACACTGTAACGTTGGTAAACTTAGCTCAATATGAATCAAGCATAGTTAGGTCTCTTTTGGAAGCTAACATTGAAATTACGTCGCCACAAAGTAAGAAAAGATGTACAACACTAATACTTACGAAGTATAAACTACGGTAATTACTCTCTAGTGCACAAAGAGAAACTGTGACCACAAATTATACTAATAGGTGTTATAATAGTGTGCAGTGAGATCGGGTAAAAATGATCCATAAACATATTCCACGCTTAATAGAGTCAACATTACATGGATTGCAACAAAACTATGGTTTGACATACTTCATCCCTCCCAAGCCCCTTGTCAAAATTCAACATACAGCAACAAATAAAACCTTAATCACAGCAAAAATACAAAGTTATGCAACCGAATTCACCGAAAATACAAACGACAAATAGAATGACAAAGCTTACCCAACAATGTGAGTACCTTGCAGTCTTGCACTTGTATTAGTTCCACTTCATTTGTTTACCACCTGAAATAGTAACAAGGCTATCCTTACACATAAAAGCTTTGTTAATTTCAGGAACACCACATATCTCAGCTTTCACAGTCGTTTTACACAATCGGTTGTACCATACAAGTTCTGATGTATCATCCTTCAAAAATAATACATCGTCTTCAGAATTCTTCCCATATGCAAATGGCACAACTTTCAAAGAACGAGTAACAACTGAATCCGATACATCCAACAACTTAACCCATGACTCTTTTACTCTATACTCCTTCATGATCCATACATCAACCGACGAATGCCGGTGATTTACAGTCAACAAGCACAAACATCCATCAATAGCTCCTATATCTACAAAATCATGTAATTTTTCTATTTCCCCACCATTGTAATCAGGTAAAGGCACATCCTCCACCCACCGCTCGCCACAAACATCGAAACAACCACAACGATGCTTGTTCATGGACGAGGTCCAGAACATACAATTGAGTTTACTACTGTTCTCAGTAACAGCCATATGCTGCAATATCACTGTATCTCGAGGTGATAATTTATCTACAACTAATCTCTTACAACTAGTGTTTGAGCTACAAACAATAACTTGTCTTCTATTGGCTTCATCGCCAACATCATATACCATAGCATCAAAATAATCAACAATTATAACAAGCTTATAATCATCGTTTTCGCAATCGAAACCAAAGCCAAAATTCAGGTAATTACCGAATGAGAGCAAGTCGGAGATGTCGAAATCGACGTTTTTGTAGACTCCAGTCGATAAATTGAACAATTGATAATAGCAGCAACTCTCGGTGTTGATTTGTACAAAGCAGATCAGCCCATTACATGAACTTAAAACAAAGCAATCATAATCATTGAATCGATGGCGTAACGGAAGACGGGTGACAGCTGAATTTGGGGTGTCCAAGTCGAGTGAGTAGAGTTGCTGGTCGGTTTTGTTGATGAGAAGGAGGTGGCGATTGGTGTTGGAGGAGAGATGAGAGTTGATGAATTCGGGAGTTGAAATTAGGGTTTTGAAAGATTTGCTGACGCATTTGAAGCGTAGAAGAGATTTTGCTGGTAATTTTGGAAGGATTTCTCTGGAAATTATCTCCCATGGAAGATGAAGCGTCGCCATTTTTGAAGGGTTTAATTGGAGAGTAGCAGAAAAGGAGTAAAATTAGGGTTTTCAGCTTACTGGATAACTGGATTTGATGATTATTCTTCAATGTGATTCATGTTCTTACCAATCCATCGAATCTGGAATTTGAATTGGACAAGTTGAAGAGTAGGCCTGATCACGGATCGGATATCCGATCCGATATCCGATTTCGAATCGGATATTCGAATCCGAAAATTTGCAAATTTGATATCCGTATCCAATCCGAAATGTTTCGGATATCCGATATCCGAAATTTGTCGGATCGGATACTTCAATTATCCGTTATCCGAAATTTTTAAAAACTATTTTTTAAAATATTATTTTTTCCGTTTATTATAATAAACTATTTCATTATACAATGTATTCTTTTCTTCTTTTTTTTTTTGGGAAAAAGGGAGCATATTAAATTACTTAATCAAACGGTTCATACAAGGCATCATCAAAAAATCAAAACCAAAGCTTCCCTGATTGTCTCTAACAGAACAAACAGAAATAGAAAAGCTAAAGCAATAAGAGATCTGCATCCAATTAGTTGCTACTGTCCTGAAGGTCTTGCTCATAAATATCATTCATTTAAGTTGGAGCAACATCATGTGGTCTTTCATCATCCTCCATATTAATCGCAAGCTTCCATGTCAATGTAATTGAAGTCAATATAAATTCTCCAATATCCCTCAAAATGACAACTAGTTCATTAGTTCCATAATTTTCTAGGATTTGCTTGCAAGCCACGATCCATCGCTTCTTCTGAGTTCTGATTACACAGCCTGCACCCGCCTCTCCGGAATTTCTCCATGATCCGTCATATTAACCTTTTGAGTACCTTGTTCTGGCCTCTTCCACATTTCATACTGGTTACGAATGGCTGGAGCTTTTCCTTTCCCCTGAAAAACAGAATTAGTGGCAACCAAATCGACCATAAACCTGTTAAGCATAGTTACAAGATGAAGCATAGCCAGGGCAGCAACAAGCCAACAACGGAGCAGCAACAACGGAGCAGCAAAACAGCAGGGCAGCAACAACGGAGCAGCAAAACAGCAGGTCAGCAACAGCAATATCAGTACAGCAACACAGCACCATCAATACATCAACACAGCACCTGGCAACAATAAAAAAACAGCAATAGACAAACTAAAAAAACAGCAAAGCAACACACAAAACCACTAAACCAATTAACCAAGCAAATATTAAACACACAAAAACATATTAAACACACATAAAATAATCTCTACAAAGCTCCAAGCCACTAAAAGTCCACAAACTCCAAATTAGTAAATTACACCACAAAAAACAAAATAAAAAAAATTACAACTTCATCTTATGTATCTCAAGCTCCAATCTCCAATCTTCAAGCTCATCTTCAATTTGTCACATGTAATCATCAACAACGTCACTCGAAGGTTGCTCAATAAGTGGTAATAACTCTACACAACAATTTTTAAAAAGAATATAGAATAAAAAATTAGTTAGAAGTTAAAACTAAATTATGCAAATTAATTAAAAAAAAACATAATAACTAATAAAATGTTTTACCTTCTTCAATTCTCTCAATATCTTCAAGATTTTCTTCAACTACTAAAGGACCACGAGTATTTCGCAACCAATCTTGAGCACATATCAAAGCTTCAACCATATTTGATGAAAGTGAGCTACGAAATGGATCAAGTACTCGTCCACCCGTACTAAATGCAGATTCAGACGCTACAGTGGACACGGGAATAGCTAACACATCTTTCGCCATAAGAGCTACTATAGGATATCTTTCCCCACGATTCTTCCACCAATCTAAGGCATCAAAGCTCTTTCCAATAGTGTTAGGTTCTCTTTACAAGACGAAAATGAAAAAAACGAAAGAAATCAACAGCAACTCAAAAACAGACTTCCTACATTCAAGATACTCAACAGCATTTCAAGTTTCAGATATACACAAATTAATCAATGGGTGATTCAAAATTTCATATAGCATTCAAGTATTCAAGTATTCAAAAAAACCCTAATTTCAGTAAGTTGTGAAATTTGTAAAGAAAGATGGAGTTTTACCTGAGCGAGAAGGAACTTGGAAGCAGTCAAGCATGCGGCGGCCGGCGAGAAGGAATGAGAGTTGAGAGAGGCAGAGAGGGAGGCGGCTGAGAATTTGAGAAATCGAGAATGAGAGTCTGAGAGAGACAGAGAGCAGAAGAGGAGGCGACTGAGAAATTGAGAATGAGAAAGAGGGATTGAGGTTTAGTGGTTTACTGGTTTAGACTTTAGTAATGTAGTCAAGATCATGTGGTAAATCCGTAAATTGGTAATACTAGTTAAATAATTCAAAGTATTATGATGATTAAATTTTAAATTCGATCACTTTCAAATTTATTTGGAAAATATGTACTCCGTATTTGTTTAAAAATCAAAACATTATACCCAAAGTTAATTCAATTCATGGGCATCCTTTTAGTTTTATTGATTATTGAATACTTTTAGTTTTATTGATTATTGAATACTCAATAAGGTAGGATATTAAATTGACTATTCGATTCGGTAAATCGGTAACGATAATCAATGATCACTCTTACTCATCATGATTGAGCGCAATTTATTTCTTGAAATTAATTCTAACTTCTAAGTTTAAGGTTTTGTTAATTACAGAGTAAATAGATCAGAAGTCATCTTTAAAAAGTACAGTAATAACATACATGATCTGATGATCGTTATATAATTACCATTAACCCCATAATACTCCATATGAATGACAATTAATTTGATTAACTTAAGTATTGAGAATAGCAAGATTTAGTGTCCAGGTAGTATTTGGTGTAGACGTGTAGTTGATAAGAGTATCACCTCACGACTTCATGGGTTTCGATTCCTACTGGCTAGGGGTGCTTATGATGCGAGTCGAGTTTTCATTTTAGTGTATACATTTGATGATACGAGTACATAAATAACATTTTATTTATTAATTATTAATATAAAAAAAAAGTTTTTTATCAAAATAATTTAATTTTTAGTGAATATGATATTATATAAAGGAATTCGAGCTTCTCACGAGCTTTCGAGTCGACTCGTCTCATTAACATTTCGAGTCAAGCTCACTCGAGTCGATTTTTGACCGAGTCGAGCTCGAGTAGCTCGTGAGTTGTCTCGTCTCATAATCACCCCTACTACTGGATGTGGTTCTTAAAAGCTGGAGGTTCCCTTATCTCCCCCACCCTCTTCCCAAAAGCCTGCTATACGTAACTAAGTTGGTTTACTTGAAAAAGATATTGATCTAGTATGGTCGTTCTCCTTACCCACCAATATAAAACAAAAACTAAAAAAAAAAAAAAAAAAAAAACTTGATATAGTAGGACATAGAGGTGTCATTCAAGTGTTTGGATTCCGTGAAGTTGGATCGAATCTATTTTTTAATTTGAGACATACAAAATTATTATTTCCAAATAAGTCGATATTTGAATTTAATTTTTGTAGATTGTATCAATCGGGTGAATTTTTGACACATCTAGAACTTTTTTTTTAGATTAAGGTTTGACACATCTAGACTAGTACACAACAAAAATACATAATTGGAGTTCAAATAGAAAAAAATACATAGTTGGAGTTATGTCGACATAAGTAGAAACAATTTAAATTGAAAAAAGCCCAAGATTAAGGAAAAACAGTGCCCATACAAGTTTACATTTTAGATTTTACTATTTTAGGCCCAAAAAGCCAAGCCCAGCTTAATTTTCGGATATCAATTCGGATACGGATATCCGATATCCGATTTTTTTCGGATATTCGGATATCCGAAATCTGAAAATTTACTATCTGAGTTGGTATCCGATATCCGACTTTTTCGGATTGGATATCCGATCCGAAAAAAAAATCGGATCGGATATCCTAAAAAAACGGATCGGATACGAATCGGATTTTCGGATATTCGGATTTTCCTGCACAACCCTATTGAAGAGAGCATGAGGAAGACGAACAATTTTGAAAGAAAATTGAAAAGGAATGTGATTACTGGTTAGGAATGGGGCTGCCCAGGTTAATAAGAATAATAACCTTGTTACGAGCAGAAGTTTATCAAGGATTATAATAGTCATTTCATTTTATAAGTTAGGGGTATTGGTGTCATATGATATATGGTTAGGGTTTATATGGTATATGGTTGTGTAGTTCCGCTACTACAAGACGGTCGTGTGGTTCAGGGTACACGACTATGTAGCTGAGCGCACTATTTTACTATGCGATATACACGATCGTGTGGGTTAAGGTACATGATTGTATGGTTTTGGTAGAGGTGATAAAAAATCAGGGTGAGTCGACCCCATGCATAAAAATCTTGTGCCCAAACCCGTAAAATAGTGTCGAGCTTTTCGGGCCAAAACGGGCTTTTTGGGTTTTTTCGGGGCGGGCTCGGGTTTTGAACTAAAAGTGCAATTTTAGCCTTGCCTAAACCCGCACATTTTTCGGGTTGGGCTAGCGAGGCCGGGGTTTGGCCTGTGTGGTTTTCAGTTTCTGTTTTGGAGAGTTTATACCCTTTAGGGTTACTTATAAGCTCATAGCCGGATCAGTTGAGTGAAAAATAAGAAATCTAATAGTGTTTTGTGTATTTCTCATATGTGACTTTTGAGAGAGATAGCATAAGAAACTCGAGCGACAATCAATTTATTTTTTGTGATTAGTCTCAAATCTATTCTGAATCTGTAATGTGTTTTCCCTAAGATTAATAAAACTATTACTCTCGCTTGCCCGTAGACGTATCCAACACATTGTTGGTGAACCACGTAGATATGTGTGTGTTTTTCTTGTAAATTCTACATTATCAATATGTGTTCTTTCTTGCATCTGTTATAACCCCATCTATACACAACTATGCTCATAGCGAAAAACACGTTATTTACAATCTTCGCAGTAAATTTTTATATTCCTTATAAAGAAAGAGGAGCGTCGAAATCAATATTTGGGGAGTCAAATTCAGTTCTCAAAAGACCTAATAATTACTAAATGAACAACATAAAACATATAGTTACAAATATGAGCTCTTTTTGGAGTAAGATCTCAACAAAATGCCACCATTGAGACATCGTCCTCGAGCTTTATTACCCGCATATTCGTTTTCATCTAGATATATGTGCTCATACAGAATAACTCGATCACACAATCTCCATTGTTAAACCTACCAATGCTAACTAAAGTAAGAAGATTGCTCGAAATCAATATTTAGATTGTCAGTCATTAAATCCACACGATCTCCATTTTGAAAACCACCAATTCTAAGCGGTAAGATCGTCCAAAATCAATATTTGGAGTATCAAAGTAAGTCCCAAGAAGAACCCTCCATAAGTCATAAAGTCCTAATACATCACCGTTAGACACAAATAAAATTGCATAACAACCTTTTATACTACTGAAAGTCTTACTAGTACTATTGAGATGTTTTTTTCATTACTACATTCATATATAGTACTACTGAGAATGTTTAGTAGTAATATATTACCTCTCATTAGTACTCTTAAAATGTAATTATTTACAAAACTGTCATTGTTATGTAATTGCTTGTGTCTAACCGTGAGGCCGTAGGATGGGCCATAGGCATTTCACATTGGTTGTAGTTACTAAAAAAAACAACCCATAACATGAAGTCATGAAGTCTTCCCTCGCAAAATATCGGTTAATGGAAGGCTAATTAATTAAGTTCGTAAAAAAGCTTTAATACTCTACTTACCTAAAAAATCCCACACTCTCCGTAACGTCGGTTCACGCGCCCCTCTCGATGTCACCCTTACCGGCGATCTCACGTTACGTCATCGCTTATCCCTCTTTCTCAAACCCTCTTATTCCTCTTATCATGCTTTACTCGTCGGCCGGCGCCTTTTCTCTCTCTTCTTTCTCTCTCCTACTTTCTCTCTCCTCCAATAAAATTCCTCCGATTACCTCCATAACTTCAACAACCTACCCTACCTCCTTCTTCTTCTTCATCTTCCTCTTCTTCCTTTGACTGATCTGATTGTTCTCAAGGTTTTTATCAATGGCGGAAGGTCCAGATTCATCGTCGCCATCTCTGGCGATGATTTCATCGTCTCGGCCTGTTCCAGTGAGGGAGGATTGTTGGAGCGAAGACGCGACGTTTACGCTGATCGAGGCGTGGGGACAGAGGTATATTGAGCTGAATCGAGGAAATCTGAGGCAGAAACAATGGCAGGAGGTTGCTGATACGGTGAATAACCGCCATGGACATGTGAAGAAAGCTCGGAGAACGGATGTGCAGTGTAAGAATCGGATCGATACTTTGAAGAAGAAGTATAAGATTGAGAAGGCTAGGGTTTTGGATTCTAATGGTGAGTATAAGAGTTCTTGGCCTTTCTTTGATCCTTTGGATCAATTGATTGGATCTACTATGCCGTTGAAGAAAATTTCTTCTCCTTCGCCTCCAATGGCGGTTCCGTTGATTGCTCATCGGACGCCGATGATTTTGCCTCAGAAGAGGCCGGCGCCGTCTCCGTCGCCTCCGGTTCCGACTCCGGCGCCGATGCGAGGTGATGAGCCGTCGTATTTTAGGAAGAATTATTCGGCGATTGCTGCTGCTGCCGCGGCTGCTGCGGTGGAGAGTGAGGATGAGGATGAGGAAGAAGAGGAGGAGGAGGAAGAGGAAGTAGAGGTGAGTGGAGAGAGTAGTGAGGCGGATGGGATAAGGAAGCTGGCAAGGGTGATTGAGAAGTTTGGGGAGGTTTATGCGAAAGTCGAGGCCGAAAAGCAGAGGCAGATGGTTGAATTGGAGAAGCAGAGGATGCAATTTGCCAAGGAGATGGAGTGTCAAAGGATGCAGATGCTTGTTGAAATGCAGGTGCAGCTTGAGAAGGTTAAGCGTGCCAAGAGATCCGATTCGAATGGTGAGATTACGCTTCTTAGCTTTGTTAATTTGTTTGATTTTATTGATTTGTTGATCATGTGAATTTTAGATTATAATCGTTTTATAATAATGTGTTTGAGGAGCATATATTATATTGAGGTGGATGTACTTGTTCAAATATGCAATTTGCCCCTTTGCATAAAGTTATTGTCAACTTTGATCTATTTTATTAATTGCATGCTCTATGGTTTGCTTGCTAGGTTTTGTTATGCTCAAAATTTTACGAAAATTATGTGGAAGGTTGTTTTGTGAGTGATGGCTGGTGTGAAATATACTTTGCTTTGGTGGCTTTGATGGTGATAAACTGATAATTCATAGTATTAGAGTCTTAGTTCGATGTTGTAGTTGTTCAAGTTTGTAGAGGTTTGGTGAGTCTGAGTACACTGGTAGAGTTCATGTGCTTCTATTTCTTGATGTTCGCCATTCTTAATATGATAGGATTGGCTGTTGATATTCTCCTTAGGATCAGAAAGGTTGATGAGTTTATTTTGTTTGTTTTTATAATTTTATTATTCGGGTTACATACGATTGTCAGTTAACATGATTTTTATCAACATAAATACAATCCTTGAATTTCCTGTCATATTTCTCATTGATGTCAGGAGGAACTAACCTCTCTTTCATGCTCTCTTCAACTCTTACAGGTTCTTGCTTATCTCCCTAAACATTATTTTGTCAAACATCAAGTTAATATCCTGTTTAATCTGTAGTATGTTGTAGTTAGGTTCTAATATTTTCAGAGTTCTCAGGCATACATTGAGGGGCCGTTTGGTTGGGGGTATTTAGGAAAGGGAATGGGAATCAATTGGCCCGATTCCCTTTGTTGATGTTTGTTTAGCACTTTCTTTCATTCCCTTTACCCCCTCCATTCCCCAAATTCCTTCTAAGTCCATTCCCCACCCCCCCCCCCAGTTATTTCCATTCCATTCCCTAGCCACCCCAACACCACCACATCACCACCTTTACACCTACCAACACCACCGGAAACCAGCCCACCTACGTACCTGACCATCGCCGACCCTACCCCGACCACCGCTGCCCCACCCCCGATCCTCGCCGCCCTCCCCTTCCCCGCAAAAGCAACCACAACCCCCGCAAAAACAACCACAACCCCCGCAAAAATAACCACCACCACCCACCCAACCCTTCCTATCGCCGTTAAACCGCCGCCTAGCCCTCCCAAAGCCCCGTCCCTGCCCCTCCCCTCTCCCTGCAAATCTGCCCCTCCCCCATAAAGCGTCCCATAACCACCGCAAAACCCTAAAAACTCTTCTCCCTCCCCTTAAAATCGTCAGCCGCCTCTCCCACCACCCTCGAAATCCGTGGGGGAAGGGTTGTCGACGGTTTTTATGGTGAGGGAGAATGGTTTCTAGGGTTCATTCGTGGCTGAGGTAAGTTTTACGGGGCTGAGGGAGGATTTGCGAGGGGCGGGGACAGCCGGCGAAGGGAGGCGCACGGTGAGGGAGCAGCGGCGAGGGGTTTGGTGGCTGGGTGGTGGCTGGAAATGGTGGAGAGTGAAAGTGTAGGTGGCTGTGTGGTGGTGGTGTGGTGGTGGGACTCATTCTCTTTGTTGTAAAACAAACATCATACACAATTTTAGGTAATTTCATTCCATTCCTTGTCTTTCCCTTTGTTCATTCCATTCCGATTACCCTGTGCGAACCAAACGACCCCTGATTATTGTTGACTGGTTTGTCTTTGCTGAACTTCCTGTTCATTCTTTTCAATATCACTATTTTTGTTCTTTAACTTCACTGAATGACGGGTTACTTTTTTTTCTTTTGTTTTTCTTTTTCGGAGGGGGTGTCGTATGTGTGATACGAGTACATGATTAATGTTCTTTGCCTTTGTTGAAGTTTTTTGATGTTATTCAGCAGCTCCATATTTTCTGCTGTGTTATGTACATGGAATTGAAACTTGTCCATTCCGTTAGGAAGCAGCTGTTCTGTAGCAGAATCTGGATTTGCAATTTTCGAAAACCCCATTACATAACACCTGGCATATACTATGCTTTTCTCCCAGTGTTGATTGTTACATAATGATGACCCATCATGTTAGGTGTTTATTTTATTTTTTTTATTTTTTATTTATTTTTTTTAAAAAAAATCTGTTATGTCTGTTCTTTTATTTAAACTGACCATATATTTTTAGTAATTATGTACTATGTAGTTTATAAAACATTATATATTAAGTAAATTTTATTCGTCCCCAAATATGTTGTCCATTGATATTATGATTAGATTTGGTTATATTCTGTTGAAAGAATACTTTTTAAACTCAAAAAATGTAAGCAAGGTTTAAACCATGTCTGTTACAAGGTGTTTCCGCGATATTGTAACCTTTACGCATTGTTTGGATAGCATAGAAGGATGGAAAGGAAGGAGAGGAAAAGATGAGGAAGGAGAGAGAGGAGGGAGGAGGAGATAGATGAGCTCCATATTTCCTTCAAATCTCTCCTATTTTGGAGGGATTGTAGATATTAAAGAGAGGGAAAATGGATCTCTCCCTCTCCTTCCCTCAATCCTTTACCTAGACAAGAGTAGTTTTCCTCCTCCCTTTCTCTTCTCTTCATTTCCTTCCATTTCCTTCTATCCAAACAAATGTTACTGCAATTGTAACCATATCCATGATTTATTTCTATGGTTATTTGTCCAAGCTTCTTTAGCTTCTGTGAAGGGAATTTTATTAAGGGTGGATATTTGTCATTTTTTGGGCTGAGAGATGTAGCATTATATAAAATATTAGATCCCAGAGGCATTTTCCGTTTTATGAGTCTAGGACTCTAGGTTCACTAGTATATGTTGTGCTTACTGATGTTCTTAAATGAAGACCACCCCCATCGATCACAAATTACAATGTTAGTGACATTGAATTAAGGTGCAGGGTTTTTTATTTTTATTTTTATATTTCTTATCTTTTTAATTTTTGGGTTTTGACTTTTGAATCTGAATTTGGCAGGAAGATCACTTACATTATGGGTCTATTGATTTGTTTAATTGATAGATTGAGGGAATCAACTACCTTTCCATCTCTTTAGCATTATGATTTTTTGATATAACTTGTTGGATAGGGCTAACCATATGTTGAGATTAACTTTATTTTTGGAGTTATTGCACAACCAGGGGCAATCAATGCTTAATCTCTTTGCCGTATCTTGGGATCATCTGAGATCTGACATATCATGACTAGTTTTGTCAAATAGGCTTAAGTTTGTTAGGAAATTAAATTGTTTGCTCTCTTTCATAGTGATTGCTGCCTATCCTCTCTTCCTCTCCTCTTCTCTTTACCTTTGTTCTATTTTTCTTTGTCACTGCTGACACTTTCCACCTAGTTGTGCTGTATTTTACGTTGCTGTAATTTTGTTTGAGCAGCCTATTTCAGTTTGAGGCTTGAGTACAAGGAATATCGTCCTCGTTTTTATGAAGAAAAACATTATTGAAGGTTTTGCAACAACAATATTGCTGTACTGCAATTTTTTTCCATTAGTGTGTTCCACATGTAGTGAGGGTCTTTATTGAAGTTTGTAGCTCATTTAGGGGAAAAGCTCTGTAGGAATTGAAGACTGAGATTTCAGAAAGGTTACAAAGGTCGAGAATACAGGAAAAAGGGCTTGACAATTTTATTTATAAACGCTGATTCAAATTTTACTGCAACCAATCTGTGGAACTTTTATTTATTTGACAACATATTTGCTGACTGGGGTCTGCGTGTTGCTTTTCCTTGGGAACATGGGAATAGTATAGGACTTATGATGGGGTGCATTTACATGCCTCTAGGCTATATCAACCTTTTTTATGTAGGGATAGTTTTATAATTCTATCAAACCCCTTATTTGAGGATGTAATTGTGATAAGTGCAAAATGATGCCGTTACCCAGCCTTTCAGTCCTTCACTAAGTTATAAAGATTATCTGACTACATGGTTATAATGTGAACTTTGAATTAGGCCAAGTTTGGAAGAACTAGAGAAGTGCCTATATTTAGGGTTGTTTTGTGACTTTGCTTGTAATTTTTTCATTGACATATATGCGCCATGTCTTGATGAAAAGAAACGTTTTTGCATTCATAAATAATCTCAACTATTGTTGATTAATGGAAAGAGTTATACTCTATACACAAAAATGTACATTTATGATCCTCCATTATGATGATATCTCGGACATTTATGGGGCCACTTTAATCCTGTCCTTAATGTTGTTAGTCTTGATCAATTAGCATTGTGTATTTGTCGTAATTGGGATCTTTGATGTACATCTTCCTTTGTGGGATCGTTTTAGTTGTTAAATGTGAATAATGAGTGAGACGCAAGAGAGAAGAAAAAAGAAGTGTGTAGTTTATGTGGGAATATTTGGAAAAGGAAAGTGTGAAGTTTATTTAGGGACAGAGATAGTAGCAGTATGAAATGATTCTTTTCTGAAAGTGAATCTGTTATTGTTATTTTCTGCATTAGTCAACATGAATTGTGAAAGCTTTGATCATCAAAGTCATATCTGGTCCTACTATTTGATAACGGTGATCAGGGCTAATCATCAAATTCAGATACGTTCAGATCAGGGCAAATCAAACTTTGATGAATTGTGAAACTCTAATCATCAAAGTCATGCTGTAGATGCTAGAACTAGGGTGCATTAGATTCCCAAGTGCTAATAGGATCATCTCCAAAGTTTATTTTTTACCTTTTTTGTTTAGTCATTGGCAATGGTGCCTGTAAACCTAAGTGTGTACCTGGCCAACCTGGGGAAACAAAAGTTGTTGCTGGGATAAGAATACATGATTTACCTGGCTATAGATGTATAAAGTAACCTTTGGCTTGCTGAAATCTTTCTTAGGTCTTGCAACAGCTTATTGAACGTTTTTTTTTTTTTTTTTTTATTTTTTTTTTTTTTTTAATTTTTTTTTTCTGTTAATTGATTTTCTTTGAATCAGTTGGAATGAGGAAATTGATTGTTTATAGTTGCATTCTCTAGCAAGTTTTGAGATCCTTTGGGTATTGACAGTGTTAAAGTAGAAATTCCCTGTTACTGTGAACTCGTAAGTTTGAAGAATGTGAATCATTAAGCTTTATGCATTGTTATATATAGAGCTTACATTGGTCTGTCTTTCTCTTGCAGATATGTATAGCTAGCTTCTTTGGGGAGCCACACTTGAAGTCTGATTTATGAGGTAGCCTGCAATTTCTTGCTAATGTATCAAATCGCTTTTGGGAAAGTTAATACCAGTAATTTTAGAAGTGCCGTGGACAGGAAGGTAGAATGATTTGCAAACTACAGTAGTTTGGAATGTTATGATGGTTTAACTTCTATTTGCTCTCTATTGACTCTTGATTCTTAGATTATTGCCCGATTTGGATATGATAATTTGTAATTCAAATGTTTTACAAAATGCTAGACGCTAGTAGGTCTTCAGGAAGCTCACGTCGGTCATGCTTCTTTTGAATGAATGTGCAGTTGGATTATGTTCATCTTCTGTTTAAATGTGGACACACAGGTTTGGCTAGGATTGGGTGTGCTTGATTTGGGAGGTTAACCTGTGGAAATCTAGGGGTTGGTAGCTCGGTATGAAAGTCCACTGTATTGTCTATCTATCTTTCCCATAAGAAGTTTTACTCGTTTTCAACCAAACAATGATCTCAACTCCTTCATGATGACTGTGTGGATCAATTCTTTTCTTTGGAAATTTTGCTCCTTATGTTCAACTAGATTACCTTTTAGGTATCCATAAGTTGAAAGTAATTTTTGAAGATGGGGAGGGGGGAGGTCCTTGAATTATGAGCTCATGTTATTTTGACTTGTTGACAAAATAAGCTTAGGTAATGTATATACAATTAGGCAAAAGTTAATGAGCGCCTCCGGGGCGTTAGATAAGAGAATTAAAAGTGTAAATATTAGAGTAAAATTAAAATTAATTACACCGAATGACGCGTGATTTTGTTATGCATTCCTTATCTAACGCCCCAGGGACTAGCCAAGAGAACGATACACCACTTTGATGGAAGCCGATGTGAGTAAAATACTACCCCTTCAAAACTCGAGTGCCATGACACGAAAGGTGAAAACCAACCCTCACCTCTAAGGCCATCTCAAGGCCCTAACCCTAACAAACATTGAACGTCCTGGGATCCATGACCATGAGCTACTCTCCCCTTAGTAACTCAATACCAGACATCTCCCGATTAGGAGAATGTCGGACCTTTAAGGAGTAAATTGATATCCCCCAATTCATCTAGATGAGGAGCCTTCGTCAATATTTGATTACCAATGATAATGGATGGACTGGCCATCATCACCAAACACGTGGTTGAGGAATTCTCTCTAATCCCCAACCTAACCCACACCTCCATGACACTCATAACTGAAGAAAGGAATCCCACATCTAAAGCAGACAATACAATGAGTGAATTGCTTGGAGAATCTTGAATTGGATCTCTAATAAACTCTTCCATCATCCCTAAAACAAAGTACCGACCACCACAATTCACTGGTGGCACACTCCGACAAAGGACCCAAAATTCTAAGACATAATATTGGATACTACAACCTAAACCCCAATCCCATACTTGAACCTCACCACTAAAAAGACCATCATTCCCTCCGGAAAAATTACAACTAGATTGAAGCACTCATAGTACTTTAAGCCCCATCTTTACAATTTGAGTCCATTTATATTTGGACATTTTGTGAAAAACTACTTTATAAAACACTTTTTTTTTTGCGAGAAACTCGCTAATCAAAAAAATGTTGTAAGAAACTACTTTATAAAAGGGTAAATATTGTAAGAGACTACCATTGGTCGAAAAGTGACTTTCATTTTTCGGCGTTGACCATATCACGTGACTTTTAATTCATCATATTCCTCCTTTTTTCTTAATTGGCACGTGACATGGTCAACGCCGGAAAATTAAAGTCAACGATGACTTTTCGACCAAGGGTAGTCTCTTACAACATTTACTCTTTTATAAGGTAGTTTCATTACTACATTTTTTTAATTAGATAGTTTCTTGCTAAAAAAGTGTTTTATAAGGTAGTTTTTTCACAAAATGTCCTTTATATTTTTACTTTATATTTTTATAAAAAATTAATCAATATTATCCATTTAACTTAATAGTAGATGAAATCCCATGTAATGCACGTTTTTTTTATACATAAATCTTATGGAACGATGATTCTCAGTATAACTGTATAAGACTATTGTAATAGAAAATTTTATCAGAATGATCATTTAAAATGGTTGACTCTGTGAGAAAGGTCCTCATATTAAAAAAAGTTTGCATTACTATACTACTATTATTATTTGGAGAAAATATATTGTTTGAATAAGAATTATATAAAGCCTTAGAAAATCAATCAATAACTATCTATATTTTTGTGTATGTTTGCGCTCCCGCACACCAAAAAAAAAAATCACACTTTCGTGTTACCTTTTTCTCGACTAGGTGATTGCTTTATATACTTTTTACTTTTTTTTTGAGGGAACATATATTTATTTACTTTATTCTTTTCAAATACTAGTTAGATTTTAATTGCATTATTATAATAAAGAATGTTTATTCCCGTAAAATAAAAATAAAAATAAAGAATGTGGTACAATTTGAGTTAAGCCTTTTAATTTTAAGTTCCTTATAAATGACAAAAATAGATAAATAAGTAAATTTTAAGTTCCTTATAAATGACAAAAATAGATAAATAAGTAAATTTTAAGTTCCTTAATATAAGTGCTTGTTTTTTTTTCTTCCTAAAAATCATGATTTTTTTTTTTTTTATTTTTTTTAATCCTGTTAAAAGTTTATTCAGACCTGAAATAGATAATATTCGGTAAAAATAAGTAACTTTAGTATAGTAAGTTCAATTTGGTAAAAATAAGTTCAACTTAGCAAATGTTATTTATATTTAGTAAAAAAAAAGGTTAGTTTAGCAAATATAAGTTATGTTTAATAAAAAAAAAGGAGTTTAAATTAGTAGATTTCACAATTTCAAAGAACAAATGTAATAGCAAACCAGGTCAGTAAAAAAAAGTTTTCTGAAGAAATCACTAAAAAAACATTTATATTCAGTAAAATAATTCAATTCAAGCAACAATAATTTAAGTTTCGTAATATGAGCTAAAAAAAACCTAAATAAAATTTTTTTATAAAAAAATAAATGAATGAATAAGGGCACATCAAAAGAACAATTAAACTAAATACTAAAATAAAGTTTTAAAAATGTATATATATAATTGTGACACGTCATTGATGTGATTTTTTCCCTTCAATACCGCCCTATCCAACATTTAATTTCCTCAATCTTGGCCCCAAATCACTCATGCACTCTCAATCATCCTCTCCCACTTCCTTAACCTCTCGCTAGGGCTCTTCATCAGTCCAAAATTAGCCTGGACCGGGCCGATCCGGATTGGACCGAAAATCGAAATTAGAATTTTAAGAACCGAAACCTGACCGATTAAGCTAGGACCGAACCCAGACCGGATTGAAAGAATCGGTCCAAAACCCAAACCAGATCGCTTTGGATTGATTTAAGAATTTTTTTTAAAAAATACTTAATTTTTAATAAAGTTATGGAAAACACGAAAAGGTAATGGAAAAACTATTTTTTTTACGTCTTTTTTTTGTATGTTTAGGACAAAAAAAAATTATAAAATTAAAGTTTTCTAAGCTTATTAAGAATAATTTTAACCATTATTTAAGGTTTCCGGTATATTTTTAATAAAAAAATCGGTTCGGTCCAAGACCGGTTTTTATAGGGTTTTGGACTGGACCGGAAAAATGATTTTCAAGACCCGAAGACCAAAGCGATTAATTTGGCCCGGTCCGATTCGGGTTTGGTCCGGGGTGGTCCAGTCCATTTTTTGGTCCGGACCGACTTATGAGCACCCCTAGCTCTCGTTATCCTAACACTTTGCAATTCTTCAAGCCTCCTTACCGGAGCATCACTTGGTCTCCTTTTATGTAGCCAAACTATATATATAAAGAGAGAGAGAGAGAGAGAGAGAGAGAGAGAGAGAGAGAGAGAGAGAGAGAGAGATAACCAAGGTAAATAATAAGAAATGGGAACCAATTACAGCCTTTAATCACCTTACATCAGATGGCTCACATCTCTTCTGCATTCATTAATGACGTTTTCGTAATTTCACAAAATTTAAACTTTTTTCCAGCTTTTTAACTTTTAATTAAGGCAATTTCATATACTTTATGACTGATTTCATTTACTTTTACTAACTTTTCATTTACTTTATAGAAATGAAACTGGAAATTACTTTATAAAGTTGAAATATTACGAAAATGTCATTAATGACGCGGAAAGCATGTTGACCGTCTGATTAACATGATCTAAGGGCCTAGATAATTACTAGTTCTTATTATACTCTTGGTTCTCATTTATATATATATATATATATATATATATATATATATATATATATATATATATATATATATATATATATATATATTCTATTTTATGTTGGTGGTACAATTTCAATTATTCTTACTTTTTAGGAAAAATTGTCAGGAACTACATGCTTAATATGGGTATTTGGAAACAACTACTCACTAAAAAATTTTATCGAAAAAACTACCCCCTAAATTTAAAAAGTTAGAGTAGCACTACTCATTTGCATTTTCCGGCGAGAAAGTCCGACGTGTGGGGCCCACTTTTTAAATTTTTCTTCTGAAAATTCCTAATTGAAGAAGTGAAAACAAGTAAGGTATGCAATTCATAGGTAATTCTTTTCTTTTAATCCATTAATTATGAATTTTGATGTTAGGGTGAAACGATTAGAAATTCGGGTTCTTAGAAATTGGGGATAATTATTTGAAATTGGTTGAATTTGTTGCTTTTAATTCAAATTGGTTACCTTAGGGTTATGAATTAAGGTCCAATTTGTCATTGCATCGTGTCTTTTTCAGAGAAAAATTGAAAAAGTGGGCCCATGCGCCGGACATTCTCGCCGGAAAATGCAAATGGGTAGTGCTACTCTAACTTTTTAAATTTAAGGGGTAGTTTTTTTGATAAAATTTTTTAGTGGGTAGTTGTTTCCAAATACCCCTATTAAGCGTGTAGTTCCTGACAAATTTTCCTACTTTTTATATTCAATGTAGTATTTCAGTTATTTTTAACTTTCATATTAAAGGTAATATTTCAAATTCTGTTTGTTTGAATAATTATAATGTGTAATGACAAAAATGATGTATAGGGAGTAAAAGTGAAACATAAGTGCACAATAAGTATAAATCATGATAAAAGGGTAGAATAATAAAATTTTCTTTTATTTTAATATGTACATTGCCTTAATGAGTCCAAGGTATTATTGCTAAATTATTCATCTTTTTCATATTTAGTTTGATCTAGGATTCTCACTTATTGCTATTTTTCACGATTATAATCAATTGTTCTGTTGTTTTGATGTCAAACCAAGAAAGTTTATTAACTGGTATAATATCAAATGTGTAGGGACATAAAGTGATATCAAATTTTTTAAAAAGGTATACATTTTCTGAATATAGTCATCAATTAAAATTATATAATAAATTTATCCTCTTCTTTAAATATTTATCTTTCAACACTTTCCACAACAATTGTAAATCGATTTGAATATGAAAAATTATGTACAATAGCACGAAACGACAAATATTTAACACGTTTAAATGAAGAATTTGATTGTAAAATGATTAAAGTAGTAATTACACTTTAAAAATATAATTTCTTCAAATTTGCAACATATTTTGTTCTTATATAACCCTCCACATTACAAAGGTAATTATCACTTATTAAAAAAAATATATATATAATTTGAACTTTACAGTACTATATATATATTTTATCCTAATAATGGTCACAAAAATTAGTTTGTGACTTACCTGTGTCAACAACTACCATTTAAATAATCACTTTTAAGATCAAACACAAATAAAAATTTTATTCGCCAAGAATTACGGTTGAGGGAGTTTATTTAATGGAATTTCATTTCAATCAATTATGGTAGAGAAAACTAGGGATTTTGGTACCTAACACAATTATAGGTAAATTATCTTTAATTTCGCATAATGGTTGATTTTATTTTTCAATTAAATCTTAAAATTAGGGTTGTTTATGGTTTAAAAAAAATAGAGCTTTATGAACTTGGGAGATTTTGAACAATTGAAGTGTATTACCCAATTTAGGGTTAGTGTAGAGCAATACCGTCATTTAATTTGGGTTCTTTTGGAAGAAAATTTTATAAAATGTGCCATAAACCGGAGATTCTTGCCGGTAAAACCAAATGTGGTAGTAGTATTTGAAGTTTTTGTGGTAGTTTTTTCAAAAAAAATAAAATAATAATGATAATTATTTTCAAAAGTGGTTATTTAAATTGGAGGTGTTGACAAAATTTCCCGAATAATGTTAAAAGTCAAAATGTGTCAATAAAAAAAAAAATGTTTAAATATCTGCTACATGTGCAACCTAAAGAGAGAGAATAGGAATGTCTCATATATCGCAAGTAATATCGTCATTGTCGCAGTGGAAGGACTTTTCATACAAGTAATATATTAAGGCACCAACTCAAGTTTTGTGCCCTTAAAAAGCTTGCAAAGTAGACTATTACTAGTATTACAATTACTCGTATTATACATTGTACTGTCGAGGATATTTGGGTTTGTTTATATATCCAAACCATTCTTCATTCACTCGATCTTCTATTATTTTAGCTTACCTCATATTCTAGAACAAGCTTTCATTTGTCCAACTTGATATGCTTTTTGATCATAAGTTTCCATTCTAGAGAGATAGTGTAGCAGGCTAGGTAAGTATCTGCAATAATAAAAGGATTAGACGTACTAAGTGATCTTATTTTAATTAGATCAATAATATGTATGTTAATTTGTTGTGCATGAGTATAATACTATAATTATTATATGAATTGGAATTTAAAGATTGTTTACAATAACAATTATCTTTCATGCAACACCAATATTCTATTTCTTGCATTTCTTCAGATTTCATAGATCAAGAAATCTGATGCCTCACAAGGGAAAAGATACTAAATATGCATATTAATCAGAAGAGAATAACAAGCATATAGTTTTTAAAAAATGGCAAGGAGTCATTTGATTTATATTTTTATCGGTTTGCTAAATAACAAGCATTTTTTGTTCAAATTACTAAATGTTCAAAAAAGCAACCCTAACACTTACGTTCGGGTTCTGATATATGTAATTTTGATTCGATTATTTTGGTTATATATGTAATTTTGGTTCACACTCTATATATAATGAGTGTTGAGGGAATTGAAGATGGCCACATTCTCTTGTCTTTGAGGGTCTCAATGATATCTTGTTGTTGTAGATGTAGGGCTTGTTCACATTTACTTAATTTCAATTCAGTTCAGCTCTAATCAGTTCAGTTCATTCAGTTCAACTCCAATCAGTTCAGTCCTAATTTCCCTTTCTCATAAAATATTCAGTTCAACTCAGTTCAATTCAGTTCAGCTCCAATCAGTTCAGCTCCAATCAGTTCAGTCCTAATTTCCCTTTCTCATAAAATATTCAGTTCAACTCAGTTCAATTCAGTTCAGCTCCAATCAGTTCAGTTCAACTTAGTTCAGTAAATGTAAACAGGCCCGTACTCTTTGTCTCTCAATATATATATATATATATATATATATATATATATATATATATATATATTTTTTGTTTTATGTATTTTTTTTCTTTCTTTTTTCATGATATCTGGCTTTTGGTTTTTCCTAAGATAGGGAAACCATTAGCTGCTTTTGGTTTTTTCTTAGTGATAAAGAGATCATTAGCAGATGTGTACCTTTCCTCATATAAAAAAGCTTGCAAGAATAGTCTGGCATAATTAAGCTAATGGAGAACGACATATGATTTATGTTATGGTCAGGACAAACCCTATGTATCAGAAATTCCAATCAAGCGACTTTTCAGTTCAGAATTCTGGTTAAATTAGTTGTTGCATGTGGATTGTGGATTCTTTTTGAATAAAAGCACTTGAAGTTAATAAAGAAACCAGAGTTATTAGGGGTTTTTGCAACGTTCATGTATGTATTTTTTTAGTCATATATTTTCATAAATGAAGATCATAGTTGAGAATATCTACATCTATATTGTGTTCCATTGGAGATTATAGGTTACTTTCCATTCTAAACTACGCTTAGGCCTAGTTATTGCCCTTATTGGATTTGACATTAAATATTTTTAAAGAAAAACGATTTTTCATGGAACACATATATTCTAGAGAAACCATCAATCAATCAATAACTATATATTAAAACAGACACCGGGAAAAAAAACCCTAGCCTCCTCTCTCTTCTCTCTCCTAAACTTTAGCCTCCATCGTCAATTTTGAAGGGGTTTCCATCGGATTTCACCGGTGGAAAGCCCCAATCTTTATTTTCTTTTAATTTTTTTGTTTCTTAGGTTACAATAATGTCTCCCTCGAAAAAAGGGTTTATCTCCTTCGAAAGACAAGGTTTTTTCGATCTCCTTCGAAAGACAAGGTTTTTCGGACTCCTTCGAAAGACAAGGTTTTATTTGCGCTTAATTTGATCTCTGGTTGTGCGGGGCTACTATTGATTATGGCTCGGATTCGGGTTACGGAATCAACACAAAAATTTACTTTCTCACAAAATTGCGAAGCGGCAACGGATCCACTCAAAAAGTTGTATGAGACAACGGACCGAGAATGTGCCGAATTGTTATATTTATGTATTTGGATTCTTAGCCCTTCCCCGATTAATTCTTGTTTGATTTTGTTAAATTCGTTTTCATTATCATTAATTGTCAATTGTAGATATCGTATGGCTATTATTAATGAAATTTAATGTCCTTTAGGACTTCTTTCAAAAAAAAAAAAAAAAAAAAAACAGACATCGGGAGTGATACGTATCACATCCTCTACTGTTGTTTTTCCCCTCCAAAGCTCCCCCCTCCCTTTCAACCCTTTTTTTTAATTTTTTTTATTTTGATTATATAATAATACCATTTCAAATCTTTATATTGTCTTTATGACAAATATATTCCTTTATTTTACTTCGTGCTCATAATTTTTCGAGAAAATACAAGTTTATAACCTTGATAAACAAAAATTGTTTATCAAGGGGTGTATATGTAAGTTATATCGAACTTTTGATTAACTGTTATTTTCTCTCTTCCTTCAACCTTTTGGTGTTTTCCTATTTTCTCTCTCCTCCTTCAACCTTTTGTTGTTTTCTCTCTCCTCCTTCAACCTTCAATTTCAATGGTGGAAATCGGAAACCCAAAGTCCCAAACCCAAATTAAAAACCACTTCTTCCTCCACGGTACCACCACTTATGACAGTTCAAAATGCCGCTGCGAATGAAAGGCTTTCCCCAAGGGGTTGATATGCCCCTAATTTACACCATTTTCTAGTAGGGTGTCTTCTTATTTCGCCGATGAAGAAGAGGAGGACTACAGGAAGAAGAGAAGACGACGGACGAAGAGGAAGGCTTTTGTGGGTTTGATTGGCGGAAGGTGGATAGACGGTGGTGGTTGTGATGGGTTTCGGATGGTGGTCGATGTGATGGTGGTGGACCAGATGGTGGCTATGATGGTGCTACCGGTTGAAGATTTGAGAAAAGGTGGGAGAAAGAAGATAAATAGTAACAAACGGTGAGTTAATACCGTTAACTCCAAAAAACTGGTCATAGTGGCCCACAAACAGTATATATATATATTAATAAGAAAAACACAATTTTCAATGCAATTATTTACGTTTAAACATAATTTGCTTATCAAAGTTATAAAATGGGGCTTGTTCTAATTTTTCTACACACATGACCTAAGTAATTATTCCAAATCCTTTTTAATTGTCTTTTAAATGTAGTGTTATTAAATTTTGTCAAAAAAATAATAATAAATTGATTCATATAATAGATGTTAAAGAAGTTACTTTAAAAAAAACTTAACTTTTTTTTCCCAATTCCTCTAGCTAATATTTTATTTCAATATAAATTTCAATATGACTATATATTCAAATTAATTATAATTTTGTCTCTAAAATTGTACTACTGCGTATATATCATTACAAATGAAGGACTTATAGAGTATAGTATAACTGTAAAATAAATGTTGTGTTTGAAAATTAAATCATATGTCTAATTCTAGGGAAAGGTGAAATATCAATCAATTTTAGTCTATGGTTTGATTAAATTTTGAATTTTATTAAAAATGCAGTTATAAATAAGTATTTACTAATTTGGCCTCCAGAACTGATCAAACCAAGCCCCGCTAAATTCTCGGATTTAGGAAGCCTAAAAAATCCATTTTTGTTTAATTTTTTTTGCTTGCCTATATTAATATAGATTATGACATTATAATTTCTATATTTGATGTGTATGTTTTATCAAATTTTATTTGTTGGATATTCTTACAAAAATTAGACTTACCGTGCATGGCACGGGCCTTAAGCTAGTAGTGGCAAATTACTAGTTTTCCTTTGTTTATTTCCTTACAAATAATATATGATAAATTGAAAATGAATGAAAAGGTGAAGATGGATGAGGAGAAAGTAATACGAGTCAAGCAGGAAAAAAATGGGGCTTTCTATTCTTTTGTTAAGGAAGATTAATTTTTTCCACCATTGAGAAAATTATTTTTTAACCCTTTAGAAACCAAAGAAAGAAAAACAATGGAAAATATGAAAAAATCATTTTCCGTTGAAACAATATTTACATCATATGATTCATATCAAACACACCCTAGTTTATTCTCATTACCGCAATTTGTTACGAGGTACCAAGCAAGCAGTTAGGGGTATGCAAGTATAGTAGACTTGAAAAAAGCCAAATTGTGTCATATAGTTTATGTAAAAGTGTGTATGAAATGAGCATTAGGGTATACTACCTCCATTTTGTAATAATTGCGATATTTTGTTACTTTGACTATATACCAATATATTAAAGACTTGATCGGGCCTCAATACACTCCGGACTATAGATTTGGTGCAGCCAACACCTTGGACTTTAACTAGTTGCTAGAACACCATCAACTATGTATTGATTGTGGTGTAATGTGTACCATCAAATACCCTTTATTATCGAAATGACACACGTTGCACCCAAATCAATAATTGATGGTGTGCTAGCTATTACTCAAACTTCGGGGTGTTGGGCATAAGGCCAAGTTTGCTTTAGATAAAAAAACATATGTTATCAAGTCAATTTTTTAAATTAGTCTTTATGTACATTTTTATTATATAAACCTTTCATACTGATTAAAAATATTAATGGTCAAAATTGTGCATTGACATGTATGTTAATCAAAGTGTTGCCATTATTATTAAACTGAAGGAGGTAGATGAATAAGATTGTATGTCTTATTTGAGGCTCATCTAGTACAGGAATGTCTTAATTAAGGAGAACATATTTCCTTATACAGAAACTTTGTTATTACATACTTCCTTCGTTTCTTTTTAGTTGACACGTTTCTTTAGTCACGTTTGTCAATGCACAAATTCAATCATTTATATCTTTAATTATTGATAAGAAAAAGTTATAAAAAGTTGTTATTTTGAAAGAATACATCGTAACGAATCTAACAAGATATCACTTGACATATTTTTCTTCACATATAAATCACAAAACATGGTCAAAGGGAGGTGTGTGAATAGTGCTAAAGTCAAAACGTATCAACTAATAAAAAACGGAGGTAGTATCTCTTATACAGTTCAAACATGTCTTGTGGTGAGAAAAACCGACGTATGAAAGTTTATTAATGTTATTATTATAGAATAAAAGTTTATGAAACATAATTCCTTATTCTTTTTGCCTTTTT